CTTTAAATATTTAAGTTTTTACATCTAATGAAAGAAAAATTACATGTTTGTACAGTAATATAGTACTTTCATGACCAACTTTACTAAGGTGCTGTTTTTAGGGAAACATTTGGGAACCAAATTACTTTTTGTCTTTTTTTTTAACTTCATTTTCAGAGCAGAGAATAATTTGTTTACTCGTTTAGAGTTCTAAAAAACTACCATCGTACAATTCGTACTTAAAAAGAAATAACATAATAAAGATGATACAGGCTTTTGTGGACTATTTAATTTAGGATTTTTCTTAAATGGATAAAGCGAAAGAAAGAATTTAAAGCTTAATTGGGAACTAATTTACACGTCGAAACATTTCATTGACCAAAATTAATGTTTAGTGGAAGCTACTTCAAGTATTAAATTTAATAAATATTTAAGATGTAACCATAAAGAAACACATTTTTTGCACATTTTTTCTTTTCTTTTGCAGAGAGCTTAACAACTAAGTAACTTATACAATACAAAGTGCTATATTTTTGTCATTATAAACTATTATTGCATAGGCTACTTTTGGTATAATGACTAAAACATAAGTGAAAATATTTCACATGTTGCATGCAGTTGCACCATTCGTCATGACTGATATCTCGGTCATATCATCGAACTTATATTTACACTCTTATATCCTCCTTATTTCGGTTTGATTAGAAACCGTTGAGACGGTTAAGTGGTTTCTTTTACAGCGTTTATTTTGTGATCAAACAAACGTTGTTTTTACAGCACTAAAGACGCTTTGCTGATGATATCAGTTACATTTTGTGTCGGCCATTTTAGGTGCACCGGTGACATTCTTCGATGACAAACCAGGCAGTGCAGCATAATAAATGTTATTCGAAAGTGAAGAGAAAATAACTTGTAACGTTTAATGTTTTTGAAAAAAAAGAATTCATAATTACAAACAGCTAGTTGGCTCATTAAATCGCATTAGATAGCCGGTGATATGTCGTACTTTCGACCTCGCTGCGCGTGACTGGACTACAATCTTCTGGGCGTTTCCATGGTGACATCAGCAGGCTGACACGTACGGTTTTGTTTTAGAAAAAACTTAACTGTAAAGCAGAGAAAAGGAAACAGCTCGTAACAGAGAGGTAAGTAATATGCAGGTACAAATGCAACCGTTTTGTGCTTATTCGTTTTGTCGTGTTAACTGGGGCTGAAAATAACCGAAGAAAGAAGGGAGACGTCGAACTGTGTCGTTAGCTCGCCAGGCTTTTGTTATTTGATGGGTACTGGCTAGCAGCGTTAGCTATTAATACATTCCCAGGCGTCTGCTTTTTGGCTGTCTGGTGCTCAGCTATCGTGTCGAATGGCTTATTCTCGTATTTCTGTAAGAATAAGTAGTTCAAGCAGTCACCATGCTTCCCGAATCGGAGGCATGGCGACTACTAAACAGGTTGTTAGCATGTTTGTGTGCTAGTTATGGCATAAAGCTTGACATTTAAAGCTAACCTGTTGTGTAACTTCAAAGTAGACTACGCACTTCTAATCTTCTGTGTGAATTTCCTTAATAATGAAAGTAAGAATCACATTATTTTCATAGCTTAGACTCCCAGTTGCTAAATTAAAGGTTTAGATTTGCTGGAAAATAAAGAGTATGGGATTCGTAGAAAGGCCCTTGTCATTGTTCTAATGTTACTATTCATGTTATAGTGATACGAAATCGCCCTATGTATGAAATTTTAGTGTGAGACGCTTGTATAGCTGTTGAAATTGCTGCAATGTAAAGGTACATACCTCACTCTGAGTTGCTCAGTCACTTTCATTAAAACTTTGAGTTGTTTCTCTACAACTTTAGACACCGACAACAGCTTCACGATACACAGCTCTTTTCAAAAAGCAAATTACTTTTGTGAAACTGAAATAATTATGCTTTTGCACCAGTGCATTACATGCAAGCAACCAGATATTAAGTTTTAAACTCAATAAGTTGGCAATATTTAAAATGCTAATTTGTTGGTTCAAAAAGTTAGGGTAAGCTTAATTTAAGAATGTTGTGCTGTGCTATCTTACTGATTGTGCATTGCTAAAGAGAGAGAAAACACACGAACTTAAGGGTATGAGAATGTAAACATAAAGCAATATTCTGAGGTGCTTTTTAATTTTAAAGGATCTTCACAAAACCTTAGTTTAGCAAATTAAACTTATAACTACTAAAACTACTAGAAGAAAATATAAATATGGATATCTGAAGTATTTTTTTTTTAAGAAAAGTAAGAGAAATTGTACACAACACACATCTCTCACTTTGTTTTGAGACTGATCAGGTTTTTGTCATGTGTCCTATACACTGCACAGTTTGACAGATTTAACATTTTTAAATGTAATTTTACTTGATAGGTGTGATGCACTTTAACACAGTTTACACGAGAGCATGAAACTGATGTGCTGCAGTTTAGCTATCTCAGCTTTTTAGCATATCTGTGCCCCATACACCACAGTTACAGTTAGACTGATTGCACCATTCATGTAGGTTACTGCAAAATAACATTTACAGTAGCCTGTAAATGCAGTAAGAGTACATCAAGTGAAACTTGGGAATGCATGACATAAGGAAAGGATGGATAAAATGCATTAAAATCTGAGACCAAAATGTACTTTATCCAATAAACTGATCATAATTATGAATAAAAAATGTAACACAGTATCACAACTGAAATAATAATGGATAAATACCCATGTGAGTCACATTATTTAGAAATATTAAAATTATGTAGTCATTTAAACAAGAGTGCACAATTGTTGGCATTCTTGTGCTTTTACGGTGTAGTAGTAGTTTTGTGTATGAAGGCCCAAGAAGATTACATTCAAGTTTTTAATTAAAAAGAAGAAAGTGTGGTATTCTGCGCATAAAAATACCTTTAAAACTGATCTTAGTACATGCATTCTTAATCACAAAAGTGCACCTACACAATTGAGCTAAATCTCCCAATCCTTACAGGTTTCGGAATAACACATTGCATGCTGTGTTGCCTTGTTGTAGGCAGCGAGAAAAGTACTGGGGTGCTGTGTCTGAGTGTGAAGAAGTAAGTTGTGTTATAAAATTAGAAACTGAGTGTAAAGAGGAGAAGGGTTTGGCACACTTGGTGAATATTTTGGCTGCAAGTGTTAGTGGCATCAGTAATCACCGTTACTATTTAAACATTCAGAGAAAACTGCAAAGATATACCCAGTTTCTTTCCACTAATCATTAACAAATGGTTGCACTTGTACTACCTGCTCCAGGCTTGCAGTCATCATGATAGAGGAGTTTTTACTCTTACTGTTTTAAGTGGAGCAGAAGTTTAATTTACGTTCATATCTGTTAAGAGAAGACAGCGTTTCATCAGAAGTCTCATCAGATCTCAGTCCCTGATTTCACCATGAACGTGTTTGACCGCAGCATCAACATTGATGCCCTCTTCAAGTTCTCCCAAATGTACGTAAACAATTTATGTGGTAATGAAACGGTCGTCATGGTCTGCTTTTTAACTTGCCCTTTCATCACTCATGCCTCGTTCATGTATTATCCCTCTTCCTGCAGATCTCATTCCACCAGGTG